ACTGTATAACAAAGAACTGCATATAGGATGGTGGTCAAAGATTACAGTGGAGTTGAAAAATGCCTATCACCTAGTGACACTGTAGCCATTGTAACAACTTAGCACAACTCATTACTCGTGTTTGTGGTGATGCTGGTGTAAACAAACCTACAGCACTTCCAGTCTTATAAAAGTATAGCACATACAATACTGTACAGTACACACAATATTGCATGTATAATATTATTGTATATATAATATTGTATGTATAATATAAAAAGTATAGCACATACAATATTGTACATATAGCACATATAACACTGTTATATACATAACATAACAATTATGTTATTGGTTTATGTTTTTACTATACTTTTGTCATTATTTTAGACTTATTATCCTTATCCTCCTACTTATTAAAAAAGTAATAATTAACTGTAAAACAGCCTAAGGCAGCTCCTTCAGGAGGTAGTCCAGTAGAAGACATTGTTATCATAGGAAATTACAGCTCCATGCATGCTGTTGTCCCTGAAGACCTTCCAGTGGGACAAGATGTGGAGATGGAAGACAGTGATGATGATTCTGACCCCGTGTAGGGCTAAGCTAATGTGTGTGTTTGTGTCTTAGTTTCTAACAAAAACATTTAAAAAGTAAAAAAAAAAAAAATCTTATAGAATCAGGATATAAAGAAAGAAAATATTTTGAACAGCTGTACAATGTGTTTGTGTTTTAGGCTAAATGTTATGACACCAGTCAAAAGTTGAAAAAAATTTAAAGGTTTATAAAGTTAAAAAGTTATAGTAAGCAAGGTTAATTTATTATTTCTCAGAATACACTGTTAAATGATGCAAGACTGTATGTAAAAGAAACCCCTGATTGCCAACAATGCAACATTAGCATATGAAGGGATTGGATAATGCAATGCGTGTAAAAGTTACAGCTGCCCTCTCTGAAAGGCGATTTGGGAAGTATTAGACTTCTTTCTTAGACAAGCCAACACTCAATCCAGAAGTAGACGATTGCTGATGGGAACATTTCAGTTAAGAACATAAATTTAGGCCCTAGATATAGAGTAGATTCTGATTGTTTAGAATTATAGAACTTTGGAACTGAAATTAAAGAGGAGGGAGAAATGGAGGGAGAATAAGAAAAATAAAGTCAATGGAGTATCTTGGGCTTCTTGGTTCCATTCTTTCCCTGTTCTGCAGAACCTAATTTTATCAATTAATATATAAATATGCTCAAATGTTTCTCATAATTGAAAATAAAAGCTTCCATGCCTTACAAATCATGAGTCTATTCCTTTTATTCTTATCTAACATTTTGTAAAAGTTGTAATCTCTTACTTTATTTCTCTCGTCTCAACCCCTGCAAACTAAAATACTGCTTGCATCTATACTGCTTTTCTCAAACTGTTGCCATGAGGACCATGGACAATTTCTGCTCTGCTAAATTCAACAAACATACTTTCCAATCTCCATCTTCAACAGACACACTTTTCATTTCAACCTCTTTGTGACATCTGGAAATACTGACTACTTATTCTATTTTGAAATTCTATTATCTGTTGCCTTCTTGAACCCTGACTTCTGACTTCTCAGTTTGCTGCCTACTATGTATTTGTCTGTTTTGTTGATGGGCACCCCTTTTGCCAACTACTTTTTAGGGTTGCTCATGCCTCAAGATTACTGCTAGCATTAGTTCTCTCTTCTGCCTTCTAACATGCAGGTTGAGTAAGTGCATTCTTTTCCATGGCTCTGACCATCAGTGATATGCTAACATACCCATCTCCAGCAAAGTTCTGACAGTTTGACATGTCCATTTTGTTTCGGCCTTCAAAATAAACCTTTTTTCATTTTCACACTTGTAATGCTTAAAACTGACAGTCTCATCCTACCCCTGGGTTTCAACCATGGAATCAAGTTTTATTGTTGAACTCTAGTAAGCCTTCCAGAAACAAATAATTCACATAATGTTTAAACAGTTGGAAGTTTTAGAAAACAAAAGAATTCCCAATTCCTTTTATGAAACTAACAAAACCTGACAAAACTAGCCCAATATCAGTTGAATATAATATGAAAAATAAACATATCCTGATTATGACTATAACTGTAAAATTCTAAGTTAAGTATTAGGAATTTGAATGTTGCATTATGTTAAATTTATGGTTTATTTCAGATTGCCATTAAAAAAACCATGACCATGTAAATAGATGTCCATTAGTCATTTGATAAAATTTAAATTTTATTAAATTACAGATAATCCTCTCATAGCTGTTTGTTCATTGAACAGGTAAATTAACCTATTTGGATCTTTAACTATAAAAATGGGTCTATATTACTTTAAACTTCTGATTTTTTTTTAAAATTGCGTTTCTCTTTTAATAATATTTTTATCTTTGAAATTAAGCATTTAACATCTGTTTTTCCTACCAAACTGAAATCACCTAAAAGACATGCAGTACTGTCCACAATGTGTAACTTAACACGTGTGAGTGTGCATGGCCAATTATAGAATTTGTGAAACCCATTGCAAAGTGAAAATAAGAGTCCCTTTATTTAAAAATAAAGAATTTCAATACGGTGACAGCAGAGCATCAAATGAAGCACAAGCCCTTGTGCAACTACATAACTACACAGATCACATATCCATAATGTTGGCTGTGCGGCTGTGTGTGTGTTTGAAATATGTTGAATATTATTACTGGAAAGTTAAATAAAAATAACTTCATACTACCCTTAGTTAGAATGATTGATAGAATTCAGATCACAGACTATAAAAAGTAGTCATATTAGGTTGAGTAAAAATAGTTCAGATATTAATTCAGTTCACAGACTGTAAAATGTAGTCACATTAGGTTGAGTAAAAATACTTCAGATATTAATCAAGAAAATATTTTCTGGTTAACAATAATTGACTATTCTGACTGAAAATTGTAGAACATTAGAAGACATTGGTTAATGTTCAATAATTTTCTCTTTAAATTGATATTTAATTTTATTTGTACTTCTATTACATTGTATTCATCATTCAGAGAATGTTGTCTTCCCTTTTAACATTTATTTAGTATTATTCGTAAAATATATCTACTACTTTGTCCCCCTTAAAGGCTTTTCTGCCCAGTTCATTGAGTCTATGAGCAAACATAATAGTAGTAACCACTCCATTTCTTTAATCATAAAACAATAACATTTTAAACATTTAGAAAACATTTTATCCTTGTCCATCTACCTTATAAAAAATAATATTCACTTTATCAAAATGTCAAAAACTATTTGAAGACTTCATTTTGGATTTTTTTCTAAAGGATATTATAGACAGAAAGGTCATTACTTGATGTTTTTAGAATGTGCCCATTTCATATAACTATAACAATTCCCAAAGCTTTATGAATATTCTCCTCAGAGAGATTCTTCATAATTGGAGGCAGAATCCAGTGTAACATTTGCATTGCCTCTCCTGCAGCTCTGAATAATTTCCCCTCATGCTTCCCAAAAGTTCAGGTATGCACAACCCTTATTCTGCCCGGATTTATGGTGATTGTGATAAAAAGAAAGGATTTCCTTTTGTGCAAGTTATTGATAGTTACTCTTTTACTTTGTTCCTGGAAAGTTCAAAAAAAAAAAAAAAAAAGGGTTGGTGGGGAGGTACAGGCTATGAACAGTTACATACCTCAATGCTGCTGTCAGGGATTTTAAATAAATAAATGAATCCCCAAGCTAGGCATGTTTCATTATAGAACTCATTTTTAAAAATCACTCCAGTGTCGTGTCTGTCTCCCTCCCCAACTCCCACTCTAGGTTCCAGAGAAATGGAAACACATGGCTTTTCTCACTCCACTCTGTCTCCTGTTTCCATTTGCTTCCCCCCTTCTCTTTCTCTTTTTTCTATTTCACTCATCCATGCACATTCACCCGTTCTCTCTTACTCTGTCACTCGCAGTACTTATTGAATGCCAGCCACGGACTAGGGACCATACTAAGTGGATGCGGGGCTGGAAGAGAAAGGCCAGTGTGGCTGGAGGATAGTGATGTGATGCCAGGAAACGTCAGAAAGGGCAGCAGGGCCCAGATCACCAGGGCCCTGGGGGCCTGGTAGCCGGTGGAAAGTCGTCAGAGGGCGGGGAACAAAGTGGAATCAGATATCCTGCTGCTCTGAGAATGAAGGGGTTTCGGGTAAAAATGAAAGCCAGAAGATCCCTTAGACCACCTTTACTGTTACCTTAGGGTTTATTTTGAAGGTGAAGCAAACAGGACTTCTCTATGGATTGGATGTGGGAAGCAAGACGAAAACAGGAATCAAAGATCTAAAATTCAGGATTGAGTAACTCTGTTCTCACTAGTTTGTTGTCATCCTCTTTTTCTTTCTCCTTCCCTCCTCTTTTCCTCTTCCTTGTTCACACTATAACAGAATGTGGCGTACTCCTTACCAGTCCCAAGTTCATTCCTCTTCAAGTTTCAATTTAGAAGTCACAAACTCCAGAAACCTTTCCTGAAGTCCCCACATGGAGGCAAAGGCACACACATGCTGTCGTCTCCCTCCCGGCATCAATGTGCACATTATTACTTTATTCACAGGAGTTCCAAGCAGGAGTTTCTACAGCCCAAACACAGCAAATCTGTGTCTAAGCTCAGTTAGCTAAGTGAACTTTGGCAAGTTATTTAAGGAAGTCTCAGTCCCCACACCTATAAAGTGCACATAAGCAAATGGTCTGTCTCACACAAAGTTTTGCATGAGATGATATACACAAAATGCTTAGCACAATACTGGCGTAAAGCAAATGCTAGATAAATGGTCGTTATTATTATCACTGTTGTTACTAGTTTACATTATCCACCTTCGTCTAAGCGGTGATTCTGCAGAACAGCAGAAATCAAAGTAATGTAGCAAATAAGCTACATATTTCAGACCCAGGAAAAAATTAACATCTCAGTGGCACATATTCAAGATGGATAGTTTATTAGCCAATTCAGATAAGTGTGCATGTGCAAGTCGTAGTTATTAAATATTACTGCCAGTTTCCATGTCCTGCATTTAATTTGAGGTTTGATCTTCCAAATATAACACTTACCAGATAAGATGGACCCACGGGATTATTTTTCCTTGAGGTCTCACCTGAGCAGGTGCATGTACAGAAGACAGAGCGGAAAGAGACTGATTAGAGAGGTTGGAGTGGTAGAGGGTGTGACCCTCTTAATCATTCTTCACTTCCTTTTTTTTACAAGACGACTTGGCATCGTCCACCACATCCGCAGCAACGCCTCTTTGGTGTCGTCCGCTTCCAATAACCCAGCTTGGGTCCTGCACACTTGTGGCTTCCGTGCCCATAATAACAACTCATGGTTCTAGCTGTCAGTCGCCAAGCATTGCCAAAGCTTGGAGAGGTTATCTGGAAAGACTTTTACTCAGAATCATTTTGATTCAGGCCAGCTGGATTCTCCCGCGGTGATATGGAAATTCGCTCCCTGCTCTGATTCTCCTCCAGGTGCGGGGGAAGCAGGTGCCCAGGAGAGAGGGGATAATGAAGGTTCCCTGCTGATGATCCCAGATTGAACCTGCAGACCAAGCGCAAAGTAGAAACTGAAAGTACGCTGCCGGCGGGTCCTACGGAAGTTATGGAAAAGGCAAAGCGCGGAGCCAGGCCGTGGTGTGTGACGCCCCCACTGGGATGGATGAAACAGCAGGCGCGGCGTGGGTAAGAGGAACCAGCTGCAGAGATCACCCTGCCCAGCACAAACTCACAGGCTCGGCAACTCCGCGGAAGACCAGGGTTCTGGGAGTGACTATGGACGGTGAGAGCTTGCTCCCGCTCCAGTTGCGGTCATCATGACTACGCCTGCTTCCCACAGACCATGTTCCATGGTAAGCGCTCTTCTCCCTTGCGCACAAGTTCGCGCGCCCGGCGCGCCGGGGCAGTCTGGGACGCACTGGGGGCCCCTGCACCAGGGCACGTCCGGGAATTGCCGAGCCTTGCACTTTGCACCTGAGGAGAGCACTGGCTCTCCCATGGGCAGCTGCCAGGCGCGCCTGAGTATCCTGGCCCATAGCCTCTTGAACCTGAAACTGCTGCTGCCCCTAGCAGCAGTCCCAACGCCTGATTTCTGTCCCGAGACGGAACGCTCCAGCCTCCGCGCCGCTCAGCGGTGGCAGCCCGTAGCCGGTCTCAGAGGCAGCCAATGGCTCTCTGTCCATCTGTCCGCCCTTCGTGTGCTTCTGGCAGCCCCAAGTTACTCATGCAGGCGGCCGGGGTTCCGCGAGTAGCTGGGCTCTTGCAGCTCAGAACTCCCTAGAGAAGTGAAAGCGAAGCTCCCACGGGACGCGCTTTTAAACCCTAGGGGAACAGGTCTCCGGAAAACCCCGTTTTTCCCCCGAGTAAGGCTGGGAGTTTCCAACAAGGGTTGTACCTTGCGCCTATTGCTGGGAAACCAGTCCTGCGGCTGGCGCTGAGAAAGGTCAGCTTCTATATTTTTTTCCTACAGAAGCTTCTTGATGGAGGCGGGATTAAATAGGCATGACTCTAATTTCTAGACCAGTGATGAGACCTAATATGTCTTATTTGTGCAGTTTACGGATTTAGAATGGAAAGGGGCAGAATTCAGGAGGGTTGGATTCGGATGGCAGTCATGTATGGCTAATGTAAAAAGCCAAAAAAAAAAAAAAAAAAAAAAAAAAAAAAAAAAAAAAAAAAAAAAAAAAAAAAAAAAAAAAAAAAAAACTTACTGGAATAAAAAAAGAGGAAAAGAATTTAAAAAGGGAAAAGATCTGCTTAGAAAAATTGGAATGCTTTACAGTAAGTACTTCCTCAAGCAAGAGGATAGCTGGGGGGAGGGTGCGGGAATAGGAAACGGACTTCTCTTTCTTTTGATGGCTACTCCGTTAGATCAAGACTCCTTTCCACTATCGTGGGTAAAGAATCAATAATTGACATAACCAAGGAGTACCAAAACAAAGTACTCAGTAACAAAACAAAGATAGGGAGAATGGGAAGAATATCCAACATAATTATGGAATAATTGTAAGGAGTGTCCTCTCGGAGCTTAATTTAAAACTAATAATTGAGCTCAACGCTATTTTCCTTGCAATGTTCATAGTTCTCCTGCAGTTTCTTCTTTCTGGACCACCCTTGGCTCTAATCCTTGCCACATCTCTGATTTAAGGTAGAAAGGTAAACTGAGAAAAGGAAGCTAGTGTGTGCATTTTTCAGAAAGAGCCTTTACTTTCTGAAGTATAGCTATATGAATCATGGGCTGTAAGTGTTCATTAGCAGACAAAATATTAGAATTCTAATAATAATGATTATAATGCATGGCTTCCTGAAATTTCAAGAGATTTCACCAGAAGCTTATTCCATCAAGAGTGTACATAAGGTTACTCTTTATTCTTTTTTCTTTGCCATTTCTTTTGAGAGTTGAAGTAGTTGAGGACCTTCTATGTGGTCTCCAACTGTCTTATCTGGTTTGGGTAATTTCATCATATTTTAGGACCAAAAAGTTGAATAGCAATAAAAACAGACTATAATCAGGAGGCTGAGACAAGAGGATTGCTTGAACCTAGAGGTCAAGGCTGCCATGAGCCATGATCTTACCACTATACTTCAGCCTAGGCAACAGAGTGATGCCCTGTCTCAAAAAGTAATAATAGAGAACTAATATTAGAAAGCCTGAGCAGGTATAAAGGAGAATTACAAGCTGCACCAAATCAGTGTTTGAATATTTTTTTAAAAATGGAAAAGGCCATTTCATAGAACAAATTTACATGTCATGTTCACACTCATGTTTGTGGCTTTTTTTGTTTGTTTTAAACCTGACACATAACCTACTATAATAAGAAGAAATATTTAGTGTCTTTTTATGAAATATGAGCACATGATGCAGTTTCACAGTTTGGCCAGGCAGTACCTTAGTGAGGTTCATGCAGAGGAAGATGGATTTTTCTTCATTCCCCTTGACTACACATATATGGTTATTTTTTTGTGGAAGCAGTGTAGTTAAGTGTCTAAAAGCTGAGGTTCTAGACTTTTCAACCTGATAAATTTGGATTTGAATCCCATATCTATATTATATTTAGGAATTTTCTGGCCAAGCATGGTGGCTCAAGCCTATAATCCCAGCACTTGAGGAGGCCAAGGCAGGTGGATCACCTCAGGTCAGGTGTTTGAGACCAGTCTGGCCAACATGATGAAACACTGTCTCTACTAAAAA